CAAAAGCGTTACCAGCTGGATTCTAAAAAGGCTTCAGGGGGAAAAATATTAGGACATGAGATGGAACGGCTGAAAATGAACGAAATACCCTGAGTAAACATTCTAGATTATTCATATTAATGAAAAATATGACGATTCACAGATTGTCTGGAAAACGGGAGCATGTGGAATTACTGACAGATTGGGGAGTTATTGGGTTTGAATGTAAGGATATGGATATGAATTACCGTAACCACTCTAATAGAAGGTTGCCCAAACTAGCACATTGAGCTCAATTATCTCAATTTCTAGAAGAGACATCAAAAATGTGACAACTGATGTTTACGATAACTAGATGTGATCCAATTTGACCTTTCAGATTTCTGAGAAATGATGTTGTGGATGGATCAAAGTCATTTGCGATCTGAGCAATATTTGACGAATATTTGACATGTTATTGGGAAAGGGGCTGCTTTTTGTTTCAAATTCCTTTTTCAAAACACTTCTAAAAATTTGGAAGTATCCAGAACCGGATTTCAAAACGAATTCAAAACTCTAACCATCAGTTTCACATACTCATTAAAAGTTTGATTTATATACCGGATTTCAGTTTTTCGCTGAATTCAAAGTCTTGTTTTCCTGAACTCCTGCATTTTCAGTTCGGCAAAACGCCAAAAAAGGAAGCAAGAAGAAAATGGAAATGAGAAGGAGATATATATTAATTTCTCATTTTTACGATCATCCATTCGCCTTTTCTTTTTGGGGAGCTTGTCAAACGGAGAAAAAAGAAGTAAAAATGAAGAACTGGAAAGATCAGATAGTGAACCTTGGTTTAAAGATTTCTATGAATTTCGGATAGATCTATCTCTCTGAAATTCTGTATAACGAAACACCCGCTCAAACATCGAAACACGACATTTTACGACCTTCAACTTTCGCCAACTGATAAGAATAGGAGAAAAAAAAAAGCGTTTTGACTTGTTTGTGATTTGCAATTTGAAATGATGCGAAATAGTAACTTCCAACAGGAAAAACGTTCAATTTCCTTTCAGTTTGACATTGATATTAATAGCTCAATCATCTATCTCAAAGAGCGAAACGGCCTCGAAAAATGCGGGTCTTTTACCGGCTTATCAAGTCATTAGTTTACATAAAAATTATCTGATTAGAGGGGCTTATCATAAGTCTATTACTGGAATTTTGACATCAAAGTTATTTCAATTTTAGTTTACGGTTTTCGAGTTTTTTTTCCTCAGAAAAAATGTTTAAAATTCGAAAAAAAATCTATTTCCACAGTGCAACTCAATAGACGATTTAAAATTTTTTTTTCCACTTCCGGTTGATATCCCGATGGAAACTAGAAAAACATTTTTTTTCGAACAAAATAAAGTTCTAAAAATGGCCAACGGCGTTCTGGAACCTCAGAAATGGACACGATGAATGAATAACAAATGGAACCCAATGATTACGAGTGGGGAAACAAAAGATCTTGCTCAAAACGAATCAAGAAATGACGAAGGAAGAATAAAAAATTGGGTCGAGAATGTTTCAGGGTCTACTACTTATTTATTTATTTACTTTTCTTGAAATCACCTGCTGACAACTTTAAATAAACTGAAATTGTAAGGAACTTGTTTAGTCAAAACACAACATGAGTGTGGATGGGATTCAAAAAAAGTGAACTATACAACAATATAATTAAACTGCTCTCGGTAAAAAATTATAGGGCTTGTTTGTGAACTTATTTCAGAGCTAAAACTACTTAACAATATATATCAGTGGAACGGGAAATGTTTGAATAGATTTGAGCAAGAACTATGAGGACATAAAAAATGGATGAATAGTTTACAATTGGAGCAGTTGTAAATAAAATGACATTGACATCTGGATCGCAGAGAACTGACCTTGTGCAGGAAGTATAAACATCAAACTATTACGCTGGTCTAATTTCCAGAAATTCGAGAGTGGGCGGAGCTTAGGTCCGGCAGCGAAATCCAGGGATGTTCGGAATGGCCTTTTCACAGTTTTTCGAAATGTCGAAATTTCCGATTTTTCAAATTTTGGAATTTCGGAATCTCGTAACATCTCTATTTTGAAAATTTGAATTTTCAAAACTTCGGAATATTTCGATGTTCAAAATTTCGAAATTGGGATTCAAATTTAAAGTAGAAATTTCATTTTCCCACAACAGCGCCAAAAGCGAGTAAAAATTGACAGAAAGATTTCGACAGCGCAAAAAATATTAAACGTAATTTTGTTCGAGAGTCCCCGGATTCCGTGAAATTTTTCTTTTTTTTCGTATTCCGGAAAATTATTGTCATTCCGGATTCCGGATTCCGTATATCGTAAAATTTTCATTTGTCCGTATTCCGGATTCCGAGAAAATTATTTTATTCCGGATTCCGTCACTCAAAAAAGTCATTCCGGACATCTATGATTTATAGGCATAAGCATAAAAAGTTTCGCGTCCTAGAAAATTCATTTTGAGAAAATTAGGTCACCATATAGTTAGGCCGATGTCGTGTCGACTCGGCTCGACATTTGTCGACTTTTGTCGACACGATATCGCTCTTGGTGAAGGTCGACACGATTTTTGTCGACTCCTTCAAAACGACATTTTGACTCAAAATCGATCGGCAATCGTGTCGACACGTTACTCTATTCGAGACTCACAAGCAAATTTTTTTGCGCTTTTGACATACCGTAGTCCAAAAACCTCTGGTTCCGAAAAAAGTTTCGAAAGTATTCAGACTGGGATTCCATTCCGAATTATTTTCTCAGAGTTTTTCCGGTCAGAATTTTCCGGGAATTTAGAATTCCGTTCCAAACATCCCTGAGCGATTATCTTCTAGCCTACTTTTTCGCTTTTTTTGATGATTTTTTTTTCAATTTTTCAATAGTTTTCATTGCTTTTATCTAATTTTTTGAAATTTGTCATGTTTTTTGCAAGATAAAAAACTCAAAATCGATTAAATTTGGGGAAAAATAGGCCAGACAATATACATATATGATAACACATGCTCCTCTAAGAATTTCGCTACCAACGCTAAGCTCTGCACATTCTCGAATTTTTGGCCTCACTTTGCATCGAAATAATACCAGAACTTGAATACTGTTGAAAATTTTCTGAAAACCAGTTCCAGTTTCATGAATCTTAAACTAAACCCCAACGAAAAGGAACAAAAAAACAAACATAGGGATTACGGGTCTCGAGGGAGTTTTAATAGAAATAAATCAGCCGTTCGTTTTCAGACAAAACCCAGGGCCACTAGATCTTTTGAACTAAACTGGACAAAGAAAAGAAAACAAATATGTACATATGGTGAACAGAACACGGCGGGTGAGTTTTGACATCATCTGACATGGTTTTTATTCTGGAAGTGATCAGAAAACTTTTTTTTCTTCTGGGTACGATGTGCTCATCGATGGCTTCCCCAACGTGAAGATGATCAAGGTAAACATTTGAGCATAATTTCATTGTTCGCGATTAACAAGCACTTGAAAAAGCATAGAGGTATCGGGTTGCCCCCCAAGGTGCATCCGATCCGGGCGGCTACAATTTTTGGATAAGAAAAACAGATGAAAATAGACTTCAGAGTCCAAAAGTATAAGTTTTGTTTGGAGAAGATCAGTTGAAATTTTGGAAGAGTTCATTGGGATTAGCAGGAAAGTTTTTGGGTTACTGTACGGAGACCCAACGGCTTGTGTACAATTCGAGTGATGTAGAAAATCAAGCATACTCTATTCAAATGATTTTTGACCATTTTTTCTCTCGCCTACTGAAAATATGAAAAAAAAAATGATGACGAGGAGAAATAAAAAAGAACTCCCTCACCATTCAATCCGTGTGAATTATTAACAAAATCGTAGAGTGACCGCTTTTCAGTAACTTCTCATCGGAACTTTGAAAAGAAAACGATCATACTCGATACAGAAAAAAGGGTCTTATTTCCGATTCTTCATAGTCTCATTAGGCAGAATGTATCGAATTGCAGGAGCAAAGAAAAATGAAAAAACTTAAAAAGAAAAAAAAACATTGACTGACCTGTGCACATTCTATTGAATCCGACTTTGTTCGGATGAAAAGAGGTTAGACAGGATGACTGAATATTCGGTCTTACAGAGAAGCTAGTCGTGGATGATCTCGATGAAACATCCAATAATTGAATGGAAGAGGGGAGATAAGTATATTCTTCAAGATCCAGGTTGCTGACGTTTGGTGTTGGTATCTGAACGAAAGATTACTTCAGATGAAGCTTTTGGGGACATTTCAAGAGAGCAGGACCTTACACATCCCCCATAAATTTTTTTTGTATAGTTACGGACCTAGAATTACCTATTTCTGAAAGACACCAGCCTTTTTCACGTTTTCAGTTTAAAAACGGGCCAAAAAGGGGCTTTTTCGGGAATCGGTGAATAGCTGAAAAACTAGGAATTTTCAAAAAAAACTATGAATGCAAAGTTTTCAATCTACGTCTGTTCTACACCCTCTAAAGTTTTCAAAGTGAACGGAAACTTGACAGTCGATCTCCAGACTTGTGAAAATGGTAGAAATCAATTGAAGAAAACTTTTGTATATCTTATTGACCGGTATTGTATGTGTGGGTGTTTTTTCTTTATTTTTCGAACTGACCAAACCAATATTTATATAAAACAATTTATTGATAATGAAAAGTAATAATGAAAATAAAATCATCAGGCACTCATCAAAAATTCCAGCAGGGAGCGAACATTCAACCAATAATAAAAAGTTATTCCAAAGAAGAAATATAACCCATCTAATATGAAATAAGCGAAATCGTTACACTATAGTCTATACAAAAACTTCAGAAACAAAAACTGGGAAATCAATTGAAGCCCCTAGATGCAAATCTGTGAAATCTGAAGAAGTGAAAAAGAATTTGAGTTTTGAGATTTTCGAAAAATTATTGCATTATGAATTAAAGTTTAGCCCATTTGTATTCTAGGAGACTTACAATAAATAAATTATTACAGAAAAATATACTGTTGTACATACATATCTACATTATTTGACACGCTTTCTTTTTCCCATTTTTGCCATCCGCATCGTTAGCAGTCAATGTGAGTTGTCTTGATTTTTCCATTGCCAAAAGCTTTTCGAAAAGTTCAGTGATGTTCTCATTGTTCTTGGCAGATGTTTCGATGAATCCACAGCCCCAGAGGTTTGCAATCTTCTGTCCTGCAGCGGTTCCAACATCTCTTTTCTGAATTAAAATTATATTCTTTATGATTTTAATATTTAAATAAACGAACCGATTCCTCATCCTTTTTGTTTCCAACCAACATTATTGGAGTTGATAAAATTGCATTTCCTTTCTCCTCTTTCATCATCTCCACAATCGGTCCCAGCTCAGCGAACGATTGTTTACTAAATCAATAGTTACAACATTTATTCCATTGAAAACAAATCAACTCACTTTCCGACACTGTAGACCAGAATGAACGCATTCCCCTTGCTGATCGATAGTCTTTGCATTGCTGGGAACTGATGGCTTCCAGTCGTATCCGTGATTTCAAGTGTGCAAACATTTTTCTGATTACAGCTTATCACTTGTCGGTACGTGTCTTCTATTGTTGGAACATAGTTCTCATTGAATGTTCCTTTTACGAATCTTTGCACAATCGATGATTTTCCGACGCCTCCAGCACCGAACACTGCTACTCGGTAGTCTGAGGTCGACGCCTCGGCTACGCGGCTTCCCTAGAAATAAGATGATTCGATTTTTAGTAGAGTTCCTCTGAATTTTGATCTTAAAGAGTTCTAGATAGGATTGGTAGACGATTCATTGTATTTCTGACATACTTAAGATACCTAGTAACACAACAATACATCTCGCATCACAATACAAATTAGTTATAATATCAATAACCTAAAAAGACTGCGTCAGAAGAAAGATGAGAATTACAGCTGATTCAAAAATTAACAGCTTCTGAAATTGAACATTTTTGAAAAGACAGAGTGGCGCATAATTACCCGGACTGAAGTTTGAACTGGCATAAAATTTGAGGAAAGCGTTGTACTTGGCGCGCGAAAATTCAAATAGATCATCAGTAAACTGACCAAAGCGCGAAAATTGAAGCGCGAAAATTCAAATAGATCATCAGTAAACTGACCAAGATTCAAATCATTTGATCAACTTTGAGCTGAGTTATCGCTTGTCAGAGTCGCTTGGTCTCATGAAAATCGCAACGGAGAGCAAGAAACACTCATCTTTGGACAAGCATAACAATACCTAGACACCAGAAATCATTTTGAAAATTTTAGTAGCTTTGAATCAAACGTAAAGTTACATTTTTAAAAATTTTCGTGCTACTGAAATACTTATGCCTAAAATATACCCGTTTTATCAGGTCGGGTAATTGTGCGCTACCCTGTGAGTGATGGCCGAACCTTACATAGTTTTTTATAACATTTTACATAAATATTATGCTGAAGTAAAGACTAAAAAATAGTTCATCTAAATTAAATTACAGTTTTCCCTTCAACTAACCGAGCCAGCCGTCGTGGTTGCAGCTGTGTCCTCAATACTGAAATCAGCCTCCAGTAGACGACTGGGACCACCGTTTGAAGCTGTTGGAGAGCTCTGGAAAGCAGAGAAAACTTTGGAAGAGGAGGTGTCAAAAAAGGAGAAGGTGCTTGAAGTGTGAAAGGAATACAAACAAAAAAGTAGGGGAAAAGAAGAACAATGCATAGAAAAATGGGAAAAAAAGAAAAAGGGGCGGCATGAGAACGAGGAGTGAGTCCAATTTCCGTTGGACTCGAGGAGCCGCGTCCCCGCCCACTTTCTTCCTTCTTGCCGTTTTTTTTCTTCTTTGCCATACCAACTTTTAATTATCTCCTTTTTTCTTCTTTCTTCTTTTCATAGCACAGGGGGCAAACGTGAAGAAGTGGGACAGGAAGAAGAAGAAAAAAGTAGAAAGGACAAGATGACGAGCACAGAGAAACACGGATGGAAGTACTTTTTTTTAGTTTACTTTGCCAAAGGGAGTGGGACAAAGTGATGGGGCGGGAGAAAGGTTTTAGGGGGAGGGAGAGAGAAGTGGCAAAAAAAGAAAAGAGAAGACCCTATAGGCACAGAGGTTTGAGTTTTGAGTTACACGGACCCTCCAAAGAGAGAAAGACATCCGAGAATACGAGAACATCGGAACATGTGATCATCGAAGTAAAAGAAACAACAAAAAGTTTCTACGGAAGGATAAAGACCACCGTGGAATAACACAACAAAGTAGATGATTGTGTCATGTGGGGCAGAAAATATAGGACCAAGAAGTAGAAGTTCGGACATCATTCGATCTGGGGAAGCATAGCTGGTTTGAAAAAATTGAGATGGTTGAGGATGTATAAGTATTACTGTCGCTTGCATTCCTACACAGATTTCTAAAGTACTCTCTAAGATTTTTTAAATTCCGTGATACCTGTAATAGAAGGGACCCGCCACTTTGACAGCTAGAAAATTAAACCTCTTTCTCGACTACACCACTCTTTGATTACACCTACTCTTTGACTCCACAATCTCTGACTACATTATCTCTTTGACTACATTTATCTCTTTGACTACACTTGTCTCTTTGACTATACTTTTAAAAATTTTTGAAATTTTCTGCAGTTTTTGTGGCCGTTCTTACAGAAAATAAGAAGATTTAAAGCCTAAGCCTAGAATTTTGAACAAAAACTGACAATTCCAAAAAAAATCACAGTGAGAAAAGTACTGAAATTCGCGACAATCAGCGAAAGTCTCACTTTTTTCGCTGAGATTCCAAAATTTTTATTAGTTTTTGTTCAAATCAAAGGCTTAGGCTGAAACGGTTTGCCGGAAAACATAAGCTTTAGCCTAAGCCTATAATATGAGAAAAAAATCGGAAATTCCAAAAAAATTCAGTCAAGAAGTACTATAAAACAAAAAAGTGTAGTCAAAGAGACTTTGTAGTCAAAGAGACATCGAAAAAGGGTACATCGAGTTCTTAGGGTACATTGGTTCCAAGGGTACATTGGATTGTTCGGTACATGT